TCATTGGGGATTTAAGGTCGTTGAAAGGATTACAACGGAATTGATCAGATTATGTTTGTTTACAACACTAGTTTCAGATTGTTTAGGAATGTTTTTATTTATTTTTTTCGTCAAACGTCATCATTCCGTTTGGGTCATCTTGCAGAGTGGAAAAGGTCCTCAAAAGGATCATATTTTACTGGCGATATTTTTATTGCAAGTTAATTCTAGCGTCACAGATTTTGTGATTGTTCCAGCTTGGCTGTTAATGATTAGGAGCATAACTCATAGGTAACAAAATAGAGGAAAACCTCAGTAGTGAGAGGTCACGGCGACCAAGGGAAGAAATTTTCTCAACAAAAGGAATTCTTGAGCAAAAGATGAGTTAACCACGTTCTGGACACCCAAAATCTGACGGTTGGTGTCAGAACAACTATTTTACTTCGTTTTCAAACCCTAACAATTTCAAAATTGAACTAAATAAATTTTAATTCGTTAAATTTTTTATTGGACTGTTTCTCTTTTTTAGAAAATATCAAGCACCATAATTACTTACATGCATGAATTATCATTAAAACATCTCTTCGAAAGTACTGATGAGGCTCGATTGCATTTGCAGTAATCTCGCTTAAGAAAAGGCCCCATAAAGCGGTTGGTCCTGGGTCAAACAAAGTCAATGATTGTGTGGTATTCCCTCTCAATTTAAAAATATACCAGAAATAACGGCCACATGGTGTAATGAAAAAACTGTAATAATATCTCGAAAGATGAAATATTGGGGCATAAAGAAGTTGTCAAAGAGCTAACCAGAATGAACAGTTCTCTCTTGCGATTCCGATTGGGATTCTACTGTTCCGTGACCCACGGCTCATGGCATGAGTCAGGCCATTGGCTTTCGATTAGTCCTTTATGGAAGGAAGGCGACCAAATCAGAGGTCATTCCGTCACTATCAAGTTTCCCGGTTTCTCTTCGTCCTCATAACAGATTTTGCTTGAAACTAAATTAAGTGTTGATTTATTTATGCACTTCATGAATTTGGTGGAACATGCCCGTCTTTAACTGCAATTCAGCTTTACCGCATGTTATGGAAAAATATTAATTGTATATGACCAAAATTATCATTTGATTTATTTATCAAGGCTGCAAGAACAAATTTAAGCTATTCTCTCTAATTTGGGGTTCAAAAACCTCCTTGTGCGTGGCTAAGTTTCCTGTGGCAAATGTGTATTGGTTGGTGCCTTTTAAATTTTAAAGACCCCGAAATGTAGCTATTTACATCGTTGCATGGGAATGGGTGAAGAATGAAAACCCCTGAATGGGCCTGGGTATGGGTAAATGAATTGTACTGATGAATATTAGTGGTAATACCTGGACATGAAACTTTGGTTTCGCAGCTTTGGTTCAACAGTAAGTACTTCGTGCAGCGGACTGAGTCACAAAATCTACAAATGACTCTACCACTGAAAGATTCCCTAAGTCTGTGCCTATTTCCAAATCAATGTAACACTCAAATACACGTTTTACACTTGTTAGAAGGAGTAGTTGATGGATACCAGATGGCTAATTTATGACTCAGTGCCACATTTATCTTATCAGCTGGTAAACGGATCGTTTGCAGAACGTTCCAAATGACTATTTTGATGGCTTAAATGGATCATAAAGAAGATTATGCATAGCACATCTAACAAGAATAAGTAACTTTACTGACGTACCTTGTCTAAACTTTCGAAAGTATGGTTAATCTATATGTAATTTATTTTATATAGGCACTTTTTATTTTTATTGTCTGGTTGTCTTAAAACAACGGTTGCTTAATATTGGAACGGCTGTCTGTATTGTTAAATTTTTATTAATCGTAGTAATAATAATCGTAATTATAGCAATTTCCCCCATGTACGGTTTACGGGGTGGAATAGGACCACAGCCATCCCCGGCTTGTCGTAAAAGGCGATGGCGATAGCAGTGGCTGGGATATTCTTCTCTTTATTCCAATTTTCTTTAGGGCCAAGTTTCCATCTTGTCTCTGGATTGTCTTCGAAATATTTCTTCTTCCTTTTATTCTTCTTTCTTCAGCTCAGTTTCAGGGGCATTCCTCCTACTTTTTCAACCCGCGCACAATATTGAGCTTTGGGAGCGCCCTTCCTGTGCAGAGGTGATTTGTGCTTCGCAGTGCACAGGAGGTACGTAGTCTGGGACAATCACACATATAATGTAGGACTGTTGTCGGTGGACACGGTCATCTCGACGACGAGGGGGTAAGGTAAGTTGGACATGTGTGACACAGTTCGTCCAGGGTATTCTCCGTGCTAAGAAGCTCGACCTTGACCGAGATACGGCCTAGGTCATAAAAGGTTCGAATGCGGAAAACGGCGCGAGCCCTGAGGGCTTAGGTCACACGTTGACCTGACCTGAAGTAATGTGACAATCTCAGGTATGTATCCAACAAGTAGATGGGGTTTTAGTGAATAGTACGATTGATTCAGGATGCTAACACCTGTGTGCGTAAACGCATTTTACCTTCCCTCCCTCAAATAAAAATATGGTCTTTTTAGGGTGGTGAGTTGATCTTTGCATTACATTGACCACCAGGCGCAGTTAGTTAGTAGACACCCGAAACGTTTTCCGCTACTGAGCTTTGAAAACGATCATTTATGATTTATGTGAAATTAGCGAACAGTCACGAGTGTTCAAAGGACATTTTAAGTTATGCTGAATTAACTAAATCAATACAGATTTAAACACGGACTAAGTGTGGCATAGAAGACTGCTTATTGTGAGTATGTAAATCGCGGATCCTTGAACATAAAAGGCCTTGGTTTTGTAGGTCTTTGCCGTCGCGTCGGTTGCCAAAACCTCGATTTATTCCTTCATTTTTGTATCGATAGGCATCCCTACTAGCCTCACATATCTCATTCTTTTCTGTATTTAGCTAAGGCCCACACAGAGATATGTGTCATAACTTTGACACACATATTTTAATGATAATTTAAATCTAATTTCATTTTATATGAGTCACTTTGTGATGATTTTATCACCGGAATTATCTCACTTTCCAAGGTATTGCGAAATCCAGGCAGAAGTGACAGTGTAGACCCGACAAGCGATATTATTGGAACGAGCGAAAGTTAACAGAGCAACGAGAGACTATGTGGCTAGATCTCCTTTAGAAGCTTTATTTGGGATTTGAACTGAACAACTTAACGACGCAATCATCGGCACTACTGTCTTGGCGTCTCAGAAACTATGCCGTTAAAAAAAGATTTAAATAGTGACTTCATATATTTTTTCCATGACGGTTGAAATATGAATTTGTGGTTGAATTGAATATTTGTTGAAGAATTGAAATATGAATGGCAACCGCTTTCAAATATGACAGGCAACTGTACATAATATCTCACATAATCCCTCGTTTCATGGCTAATTTCAGATTTCAGGTGCAATTTTAAGATTCGCTCAGTATTGTTATCTAAACCCGTCCGTTACAACGATATCAACAGTGGGATTACAATATTTTGTTCTCAAGAAACTCATAGAGACAATTATTTTAAAATATTTTTCATAACGAGTAGGGTTCTACATGAAAAATCTCAATGAAAAAATTTGCTCTTAATTGTTACAGTATGTCCTCAAGATGTAAATTTTCACATTCCCGAAAGTCTACTACACTCAAGAGTTGTATTAAATCAGAATTTTATCGAAAATATGTATACAATATTTACACTCTGGCATATACACTAATAAATTAATAGCGAATGCAATCGGATGTAATTGCACCCAAAACTATCGCATAGTCGCACGATCTGATTTCATGATCTATTTATTTGTTTTAACTTACCTAAATAATCATACCGTATCCATCACATGACACAGACTACTTAAGCCTGTCACCAAAAATGATTCAAGTAAAATCCTTCAGTATTCAATTTAAATTCAGATTCGTCCCTACTACGAAGTCTGGATACCCGGAAGAGCCGTCAAGGGAAAATCATTATAGCCTGTATGATGAAACCTGTCTCCAGACTCTTCGTCTACCTGGGAACTGGTCAACGTTTTAAGTTTATGTCCCAGGTATACGGAGAGCCAGGATACATGTTCAATCATACATACTATAAAAGTACTCGTATGGTTCATAGCATTCACATCACATGTATCATGGACCGATTCCCAATTCAACATCCAGTCGTTCCATCTACCCTGGGGGAACAAAGTTCACGTACGTAGCAACATGTGTTTCTTGGGTGGTATAACCATTGACTATTAATGTATCCAATAGTCAATGGTATAACACACGTGATGGTCCACCAGCTTATCAGCTGACCATCTATCTCTAAAACCAATGATCCTACAGATGTGACCTTCATTTGCATGATGTAAGGTTAGGTTAGGTTTGGTCATTTTTTAACTTATATTTAACCTTCTCCTACCTCAAAAGCGAGATGCAAATTAATCAATTTTACTGCACTACGCTTCGTCCATGGCGCTATCTGAAAGTGATATTTTACAGACGTTGTAGTCAGTTCTTTCATTTTGCTGTGGTTAATTTTATATTTAGGTGCTATACACATCGGTATTTAGCGAAAGGAAAAGTTCAAGAACCTTAAATATCCAATATAAACAGATTTTCTGTTAACTCAAATTCTGAGATTTTAAACTACTATAAAGTCGTGTTTTACGCGTTTGTGACAGTTTATTTCCCACTCATTACTAGTTTTACAAAACATTATTTTATTTAACAGTGAAAAATATTAATATAAAGTCTCCATCCGTACAACAATTCAACAATTTCAGCAAAATTTCATATGTGCACAAAAAAATCTACGGAACTACACATTTCTATAATCCGGAAAAAAGTTAATATGAACAATCGACTTTTTTACAAATAAAAAATAGTCTGTATTTACACTTTTCAGGCTCACTTGATAAATATTAAGTATAACTAGCCTCGCGATGACATATACTTCAGAGGTTATGCTAGCTTTTGAGAGTCAGTATCACTAGAAACAAACAGAGATAAGGTTACCTGGTGGTCGGTAATTCGTCGTGTTGGATGTCGACGACTAATCACTGATCACTGATTACTGATTACTGGCCGAGTGACGGTAGTGGACTAGCGATGCGATGGACGCAGTCCATAGTCCCCTCCTTGTCCATGATACTCTGGCCTTGAAGGAGACACCTCCGCACCTACGCGCCAATCACATTCTCACCAGGACGACTAGCCACTATAGCCACTAGCAGTTGCCAGTTGCAGTTGACGAGTTGGTGAAACAGTTATATATTTCAGCATGTTTATGCGAAGTGAATTTCCATAAGAGGGAGAAACTATTACTGTAATCTTTGTTGTACCAAGTAGGGGGGGATATTTTTCTGTGGTTGTGAGGTAGGACAACCTGTGGGCTCCTAGGCCTTAGTTGCCGTTGACGAGTTGGTGAAACAGTTATGTATTCCAGCGTGTTTCGGCGAAGTGAATTTCCACAAGAGGGAGAAACTATTACTGTAATCTTCGTTGTACCAAGTAGGGGGGATATTTTTCTGCGGTTGTGAGGTAGGACAACCTGTGGGCTCCTGTGCCTTAGTTGCCGTTTACGAGTTGATGAAACCGTTATATATTTTTAGAACAAGTGTCGACGAAGTGAATTTCAATAAGAGGAAGAAACTATTGTCACTATAACTACAGTCTTCTTGGTATAGGTGTGTTAAGGTGGTACAAGCCTCTGGGATTCTATGGGCATACCCATACAGTTACTTTGGGTTACGTAGCTCATAAATTAAACCCAACACCCGCTTTCAAACCCCACCTTTGTTTTTAGCCCACAAAAATACGAAGAACGTAAAGATTAATAACAAACGAAAATGTGGAGTAGACTGGAACAATATATACGTAATAGAGACCCCGATTTGGGAAAAGACATTAAACCCCATTTAAGAAATCATTTTAATTATCATACCTCCCAGGCCTAAAACCTTAGGCTCCAGCTCCCCCGACCACTCCACACAAAACTGACCCCCTGGTCAAGTACTCCCACCCACTCAAAGCCACGGCCTTCTTTAGGTCAGCACAACAAGACGTTGTTTAATAACACTTCCAGTCAACTTACACAACATTGCCAAACACTTCCTCTTCAATATTTGACCCATCCTATTACAGGTCTACCCATGTGAAATTTATGAAGGGCCCCAGAAACGGGTTGGCGGACACACCAACCCCGAGAAAATTATCTTTCATGAAGTTTAAAGAGTTCAAGAACCAGCCTGATTCAAATTGCAAGATAATGGCAGGATCAATTTAACTTTTTGTCCAACGTTTTCTAAAATAAAATATTTTTTCCAAAAAAATTGCTGCAAATTAACAATAATTTAACAGCTTGCATTTCTATTCTTCGCCTAATGGCACAGAGGTATCAAAAGTACTAAAAGCAGTCCTTCGCATATCCTCATTGACTACATTTCAGTAAAACAACTGGAGATTCGTGGAAAGAATTTATTGTCCTCTCTAACTCTATAATAACTAACAACATTATTCAGCCATTGACAATTCTATAAGCCTACCATCTTATACACTTCAAAGATCTACTGCTAAAACATCTACTGATACTGATAATCACACGGTTGGTTCATTGATCAGTTCCCGTCGAACGATCTGTTCCACTGTGGTTGAGCCTAACTCACCAACAAATGTTACAAGGTTTTGTGCCAAGAGATTTTTAATTACAGGTAGAAACTAGACATTCCTTTCTCATTTTATGTGTCCCCAAATCACGAGTAAAAATGGAAGTACCGAGAGAGGTCATAGAGTTCCCTTACTAATCCGGGGTCCTTAGTCCTCGCAGTCCAAACAAAGGATTTTCAGGTAATTTTTTTAGCCTAGGACTCAGTTGCACCTATCTGTGACATATCGTCGTCATCGTGATGCTACATTTCAGTGAGCTAAAATCCTACTTGACTGAGGCTGTTTTAGGACTATGTCCTCTTTAGCCATATCTGAGGCACATCTTGTAAACGATCCTTTTATTCTTGTTGTCTATGAGGTTTGTAAGCCTAGCTAGATCATCTGAGAAGTTAATCATATTCTAACAAGCAGATAGGCCAAGATTTTACCTAAGCCGTTAGCAAGTGTGTAACTAAGTTAAGATTATCTGATGACTAGGAGATTCTACGAGAATGTTTTCTGAAATCGCACTTAACGCTGATTTATACGGAATTGTACACATCCTTATTGTAAGATTCGCACTTAAGTACTATAAACGTACTTATTCAAGTTATGAAAAAATGGACATACAATTTACCCTCGTGGTACTCCGAATTGCATCACATTGGCTAATTTATATTCTCAAATTATAATATTTTCTGTAGAAATATATTAATCCTTGGATTCATTTTGTTGACAGGTAAATATAAGTTTTCGAATAAATTTAATTTAATTGTGTGAAACAATCAAAAACACATTTTAGCGAATTTCACATATAGGGCATATATAAGCTATTACCGTAGTACTCATGGTAAGACCTGGACCTGGGACAGATTTACTTTTTAGTTTTGAGGTCCCTAGATGCCAAAAACACCATCCGTTCAAATTCATATATATGTCCGTTAGCACGATAACTCGAGCAAAATGATCCAATTTTGATTAAATTTGGTATAAACGTGTAAACCTACATTTATTCGAACGAGTTCGCGAACCCAAGTATGATCGGACCATGGGAACTTATGGGGGGTTTTATGTGGTAAAAGTTGGTTTTTCCAATTTTTGACCCGAGAAACATAAAATTTAGCAATTTCTTTCCAAATAATTTTGTAGAGAACAAATATTTTAGTATATCAAAGCGTTTTTATGCGTCTAATGGTTACGGAGAAAATTCCAAAACATTGTAAATTTAAAATCCCATGTTATTCTTATGGAGAATAAGTAAACTGTTGTAGTTTGCTTGTTTATGAACATATTTTGATCAAATTTGGAAAATGGATTCATATCTTACTAAACTATTAACATTTGACAAAAACTCTTTTTTACCCTCCCTGTTACAGCAAACCTAAGTGCTCGTTAATCTAATTATATTTAAATGGGATATAAATGTGATATTTTTAAGGAGACATTTTAGTGTAAATTCAATCGGTCAGATGGAAATTGGCTTAGTCTGCAGGTTTGCTGCGGCGGGGGTATTTATTATGTTTTTCGAGTGGTTAGAACAATACTTATTCCATAGTAAAAACTAGTTCACGTTTAAATCGCCCGTTAAAGAGAAATAACAACTCCGTACTATGGGGGGGGGACCTCCAACCCCCCTTGTCGAGCAGTTAGTTAGAAAACAGTATGTGATTAGTGATCAGTTCCAATATGACGATAATTCGGAAGCTTCTTTCAACGTTTCAGACTGGTTTTCCAATTTGTACGTTGCTGTTTCAAAATAACGACAATTGGAAAATGAACAATAATGCTACGGAAATAGTGGATTCGTAACGACAAATATATGTAAGCTAAAATAAATACTATTATAGTCTTATATCAATCTTGGAGGGAAAAAATAAATTTGGAATTTATTGTAGACAAAAGAACAATCCACAAAGACGTACTCACTGTATTCCTATAGCAACTGATGAATATTTCTCATGAAACCTTCACCTAAACTAGGAATTTAGTAACGTTGGACTAAACGTACGGGATCGCGTAGGCGGCATTTTACGCCAACCAACCAATAAAAACCTAAATAGCCATGATATCTCGGTTACTAGTGCCGTACTACACACACACACACAACACACACCAGGTGTTTTATTATGTCTTGCAAGTAAAACAAACAAACGTAAAGATAAGTTATGTCACTGAAGGTCTTGAATCTATTGGATTGCAGTCTGAATTTCAAACTAATCAACTCATGATCATGACGGCTGCGTCGGAACTGATGATTTTTGAACGTATAATAGTCAAATAATTCTATTTAATTCCTTTGATCGTTCTTCTGATACATGGTCATGGCATTGAACAATTATCTTAAAACTAGCATACCAGTTGAGTATTTTGATCGAACCATTACTGACACTATCAATGAGGCCTTGTAAACATGACAATTCTTTTAAGATAGTGACATGATTTTACAATATGAAATTTAAACTTTTTCTTAGTTTTGAAGAAAAATCAGCAATGAAACAAACTCTTTCAATTTACAATCATACTACATTAACGCAGGTCAACATAGTAATTTTAGCGAGTAATATAAATTAAACAGGGTGTAACAGCATGTATAGTGCACTAACCTGTTCCAATGAGCTTAATAATAAAGTCCTCTACGTAAAAATGTGCAAATACATTAACGCGTTGAGTTACGCGGTAGAGGTAACAAAATCAAACTGAGACTAGTCAGCTGACCAAGGTATTGTCTCAAACTGGTTCTTATTGAGGTTCACTGACCCCTAAAACATAACCTACGACGCAAATACGTCATTGCCGTCGCTGGCGGGGTGTTTAAACAAACTGAGGACACCCTGCCTAGATGATGTATCATCTAGGGAAAATAAAATTGCCTAAAATGTCTAGAAGAATACTTTAGTTAGAGGATGATGTGGGTCTAAATCTACTGTAAAAAGTTACACACATATTACGTTGAAAATTAAAAACTCAATCGTATTATTGATTATTTTAATGAAAAACTCATGTGTATTTGCCATGTTCAAAACTAATAACGTTATCATAATGTGAACCTATAATGAAAATCAAAAGATCAAATTAGGTAAATATAAACAAACTATGAATAAAAACAAATCTTACTGCTCATACATCTTCAACATTTTTAATGTGATTAAATACAGCCCTTTAATTGAGGTTTGTGCACTTATGGGGTTTATCGAAACACTGATATTATTTGGGGAAATTTCACATCAAGAATTTAAATTCAAGTGTGCGTTGTGTGCGGATTCCAGTTTTCTCAAAAAGTCTGTGATCCTTATTAGCTTTATATTGAATTGATAAACCTTTAGCTATAGGGTAATTACTAGTAAGCGTATGATTGTAATTATTATAGAGCCCAATGTGTAACTCAACTGACAACATGCAATACAAATTTAATCCACTTTAGAAGGGATAAAATTGTAAAATTTTGTATAACCATGGGTTTGGGTCCAAACCATCTTTCATATCTGGAGCTTTCAACATTTCTCTTAACAATAACATTCATAAAAATTATTTTTCC